GTGACGGGTATTAAAGAGGGCACGTTCTGCATGGAGCACTGGGTGTTATGCACAAACAATGAATCATGGAACACTACATCAAAAACTAATGATTTGTAATGTATGGTGATTAACATAACAATAAAAAATTTAAAAAAATATATAATATGCTAGCCTTGTTACTTATGTTTTCCTTTTAAACTAACGTTTTTTGAGTTTATATGTACACATGGCACAAAATTAAAAATATAAAATTTATAAGGTACCAAATCTCTCAGACTCCTTTATAGCAACCACTATTATTAATTTTTGGGTTTCCACTTCTACATACATTCCAGAAATATGTAGGTAACCAAATGTGATACGTTATTAAATTGTCTTATTTAACTCTCACAACAAACTAGTGGAATAGCATGGCCATGCCATTTTATGAATAAAGAAACTGAGGTTTAGGGAGGTTCAAATAATATTCTCAATTATAGTTAATTAATTTAGGGAGTACCTCGTTTGGTCTAATACCAAGTAAGGGCATATTCTAATGTAAAATTTATTCTTTCCTGAGGCAAGGCAGAATTCTATCTTAGGGAAATAGACCATATTTAAAAGTCCTAGACCCCCTGAAATAGATTTCAATAATATTACTTAATGATAGGTTATTTCTAAACTATTAGCACCACAATGCCTGGGGAAGAATACAATGAGGAAATAAAAATACTTTCAAGTTGACTACTCCTTTCTCATCATGAAAATGTGAGATGACAATTAGTGTGGAAAATACAAGATTTTATTCTTGTGTCCACACCTGGCATTTATTATGAATAAGGGAGAAACTGCTTTTTTTTAATAAAGAATATTTGAACGAAATCATTAAAATTAAAATATTTACAGGTGGATGAAACAAGACATACTTAAAAATAAACAGTGGGATAATTTCATATTGACAAAATGATTTTTATTAAGGGAAATTTGAAAAATTACTAAGGAGATTTATTTTTAAATTTTTTTTAATTTAAATTAAATTAACCAACACATAGTACATTATTAGTTTCAGATGTAGTGTTCAACAGTTCATCAGCTGCGTATAACACCCAGTGCTCGTCACATCATGTGCCCTCCTTAATACTCATCACCCAGTTACCCCATTCCCCCACCCCCCTCCCCTCTGTTTCCCAGAGTTAAGAGTCTCTCATGGTTTTTCTCCCTCTCTGATTTCTTCCCAGTTTTCCCTCCCTTCCCTGATAGTCCTCTAAAAACTTAGGACATGTTGTAGGATTTGGAGACTTAATTTAGTAGCTATGCATTGCTCAAGAAAGAATCCATATTTTCTGTGGTCATCAGCTTAAAAACCCATGGCATTTTGTTTAAATTCCAGTTAGTTAACATAAAGTGTACTATTAATTTCAGGAGTAGAATTTAGTGATTCATCACTTACATATAACACCCAGTACTCCTAGTGCCCTCCTTATATCAGTGTTGGTTCATCACTTGTAACAAAGGTACCATTCTGTTGGAGGAAGTGGATAATGAGGAAGCCAATATAAGTGGGTGTGGGGGGGGTATATGTAATATCTCTGATATCTTCTTAATTTTACTGTGAACCTAAAACTGCTCTAAAAAGCAAAGTCTATTAAAAACATTAATGATAAAAAAAACTATGGCATTTTCAAAACTAACCCTTGATAAATTTCATAAACTAATTTTTAAGCTGTCATCTGGATTGAAAGCTTATTAGTGGCTGAAATTGCTTAAGAAGGGACTACTTAAGAAGGGACTTAATAAGGGACTGATGATATACTTAATAAAGTATCTGCTGTCAAGACTCATCTAACCAGTTTATAGGTGGTTTGAGTCAAACATGAAATTTTATTTCCCAGTACTGGGGAAGGAAACAGCCCAGAACTACCTTGAAAATTTATGTCTGAAATGAAGAGAATACATGCAAAATCTCTTGGGCAGACAGACTTTCCCAACAGCCATTCTCTAATATACAATGTACAATCTATATATTTCAGAGACAGGTGTTACCCTTGTATGTAAAAGTTTGGGAAGTGCTATAGAAAATATTTATGTTGAAAAAAACTCCATCAAATGCTTTTTAAAGCAGCACAAGAGAAAATGACAAGAAAAACCCAACAAAGGGAATTAAATGTACTATGTGAGAAAGAATTTATAGCATAGTTATAAAGAAAGGTAACAAAGTCACAGTTCTTGAATTAAAATGATGTTGCAGATATTTTGAGGGATTTTACAAGGTCTAGGATGGCCTGTTCATTTTTCTGTATCTTGCTATTCAGCTGACTCAGAAAATAATTTATGTTGGCTTGAATAATTTTCCTTGTCAAGAAGCACCAAACACCTCTGAAAGTTACTCGATTATTTTATGGATTGGAGAGGGAGAGGTAAAGTCTGGACTTGTATTTAAAAGCTCGCTGTTTTTTTTTTTTTCAGCCACACATCCTCTTCTTGACTCATGAAACTTCCCTCATTCTCTTTTCCTTTTCACAAACTTATACAGCTTTTTCAAAGAAGTTCTAATATAAAACCCAAACTGTGGAGTTTCATATTCTTTGTGGACTTCGTGTGGTGGCATATCATATGAACTACGTAATACTTACTTGTCATCATCCTCTCTCAATGGAATATTAAAATAAATAATCAAGCAAATCCCCACTGAGAAACATACCACAAATTAAAGCTGCTTTAGGCACAATTTAACATACCACTTTTTGAGGAATATCTTTTTTTTTTTCAGTATGCAATTTAAATAAGTATAGGCTGCAAGTTTGAACAAGGTAGAACTCCTCCCCTTTGTTTAAGACAACTTCCACATTTCTGTGTGTGCACTTAAGGAAGTCAACCACATGTAATCACTAGGCCATCTGTGAATAGGAAAATTATAAGTGTGCTACATTTGCTGCATTCCTTCAGGACTTAAACTTTTGTTAAAATGCTCCATAAATGGATCAAATGGACTGAAATTGTCTACATGTGAAAAGCAATAGAGGAGATAATTCATGTTGTAATGTTCTTATCCTTAATAGAAAAGAGATCAGTGAAATGCAGTGGTAAACACTAGAGAATACTGGAAAAAATATATCTTCATACTTAATGCTGTAGTCAATATGACCACAGTTTATTTTGTTAAGTAGAAAAAAAGTTATTTTTAAAAACAAAAGACTGGCAAAACTGAACTTAGAACACCATCAAATAATAACCTACATTTCCTTTTTAAAAATCTAGATTTCTCATTCAAAATTCAATTAGAAATTTTATATTTGATAAGTTTCACTACTATTTTTATTATCAAATAATTACTTTCTATATTTTCTAGAAAAGGGGAAAAAGAAGAAAAGGAAACAAAAGTTATATAATTTCTACATGATCATACAGAAAAATATATTCTGGAACAGGGTAATGACTCAGAATCTTTTGTGTTTTTGGTTGTTGGTATGCCCAAAAGTTAAAAGAAAAAAAGAATAATTGTTTAATGATGTATCACTTTTTGTTTGTATGTTTATTTAACATAGTCTAAAGGTGATTAAAAGTATGTGGAAACAATTCTTTAACTTTCAATACAGACTAAAGCTTTCTCCTTCTTCTGCTTACTTCTATCTTCCTATTTCCATCCTTTAGAACTATGACTAAGCATTCTCTACCCAGCTATATTGTTGAAGGAAAAGAAGAAGAACCAGAAAAGATGGTTAGAGGAATGTGTAAAGGAAATATATTAAATGTTTTGCTACATTAAAAAAAGAAGTAAAGTTAAAAAAAAAAAGATGAATACAGAGGTCCTTCATTAACTCAAGGTAACACAATAGGGTCTCTGCCCATTGTATGGCCATTAAACCTGATTGTGCTGATTAAGTTGTCCAAATGTTGAGAGTGTGACAAATCTTCTAACGACAATGAACAAGATAGACTGAATTTCATTCTTTCCTCCTGACTTGTCAAAATTCCCCCTGGAAACACCTCTTTCATAAAATGAAAACCAAAACCATCTTCTCTCAGAATATAAATTTTAAAGTTCTAGTGGGGATGTATACTGATTGAGCAGGCAATTTTAAAGACAGTTATTAAGCCATTTTGATTAAAAAGAATCGCAGACTAGACTGTAAAAATCAAAGCAGCATTTAGTGTTTTTTCTTCTTTTTCAAAATATTTGAAAATATCTCAACTGACATCCTCCTAAAATAGTTTGTGATTAATAACAGAAAGTCTTGGTATATAAAAAGGAACATGCAATCTGGTTATTATCTGTAGAAAATTCACTGTTTAACTGATTGTTGACTACGCACCTATTAAAAGAGATGCCGTCAGCAGTTTAGGGTCATATGGACTCTTCCCACGGCCATTTTCAAAATGTGAGTCCTCCAGCTTAAAAATGTTATCCTGTAGAAAAGAAAAAGAAGGACCAAATTTATTTCTAAGAGGAACTATGTTAACATACCTGTTAATCAGAGAGAAGTTGAGTACTCAAGTCCACCATCAAGGGATATTATTTGGTAAACTTTAGAGATGGCAAAATAACTTAAGTGGATTAAAACCAACTATTACTAGGCAAATATCTACTTAGCTCAGTGATTTTTAGTAACATTTAGCATGTTATAAGTAATAATGTATAAATGAACTCTAAGGAATAAAACATGTCATGATAAGAATAGAGTGATCATCTTATCACATAGGTATGTGAAGCACAACCATTTATAATGGCTCTTGAAAGGAGAGAATTTTAAATTTAAATGACTCTTTCTTCCTTCACATAGAGGAAAAAAAGAGCAATCCACTGTATTAGATCTAGAACAAAATACATATCTTATTTTTCCGTATGTACCTTCCAGAAGGAAATGCTAAACAGCATAGCATTCACTTCCCCCATTCTATCACTCCTACAACTTTTCTGTTTATATGCTTTTCAAGTATTTTTAAATTACTCACATGAGAAGGTGGAAGATACCTGAAACTATCTTCCTCAATTTCCGTAAGTGTGAAATATCAAACCGGATGTTAGGGGAGGTGTGCCTTAGAGGTAGTGTCATCAGAACACCAGCACATAGGTGACACATTTTTCTCAGTGGAACATCTGCTCAGCTGAGGCTCAAGTACCCAGGAACTGGAGTGAACATCTGACAAGTACCAAGGTAGAAAGTATTCCAGAAAGCTCTGCAGCAAAAGCCTTAAGAAGGAAGTAACTAACTCATGACTGAGACCCTGTTCTCAGTATGCATCAAGCTACTGAAATGTCTATGTGACAGTGGAGTAAATTGGGGCGAGGGGTAATTTCTAAGCACTCTTGTTAGAACCAAATTCTCTGGGAATTAATTAGGTCAGAATATATATGCTTTTTTCAGTAGCACATTAACTTGTCCAGAGACTGAAATAAAATAGCTTTTTGGCAATTTCTCTATTATTCCCATGAAGTATTTTCTATCTCCTTAGAAAAATAAAGGGTGTTCATTTGATGGCCAATAAGGATCACTTTATTTAACATTTAATATTTCTGATGGAGCTAATGGCAGAGGTTCAAATTATGACTCTTAAAATTCATTTGAGTTAGGGAAGAGCGCAAGAGGAAGCAAACCAAAAGCATTCTCCATCTTTATTACTGTGAGTGAGAATTACTGATTTTATCCTTTCCTCGCAATGATTCTGTATTGGTAATTAGCTATCCCCTGGCAATGATGGTCCTTCAGCTCAGTTCTGAAATTTACAGAGCACAGAAATTTATGAGGTTTCTCAGAACTGTGCTGAGTTGTAGTGGGAAGGGCAGTGACTCAGAAGTCAGGCCCATTTGGGCTAAGGATTAGCTCTGGTTCTTTGGTCACCAATTAATCTCTCTGAGCCGCAGGTCTCTAAAAGTCAATGCCAATGGGATATTTAACCTCCCATGTTTATTATAAGGATTAAAGAACTGAAATAAAGCATTTTTAAAGGAGCAAAATAAAAAAAATGAACACTATTTTTACTTTAATACTGCTCTCATAACCCCTATAACAAAAGAATATGAAAATCTGACATGTATTGTTATCATTATTGTAAACTTTTCCTAGCATAATCTGAAAGAAATATTACTTTAAGACAGTTATGTAAGTAACCAGATTATAAACCTGTTTACAAATACAAATTTATCATAGGCACTTGAATATTAAAATGATAATTTGAAACTTGACATATGCCAAGAAAAAAAAGAAGAATCCCTTAAGTATTATTTAGATATATTTTGATAAAAATTAGGTAATAATCCAAAAGAAATATGCTCAGTAAAAGATATACACTCTATTGCTACAAATCACAGAAAATGTTATTAAAATTTGTATATGTGATTATTTCTCATAATAAGGAAGAAGCCGAGAAGTCATGATGTGGTTGAAAATATTGTTATAAGTATTATTACAAATTTCTTGTCTTTATAAGACATTTTACAAAACTGACAAAAGATATAAGAGGTACCCATCAAAATATGAGACACTTGATGTCTCGGGACATGTGTCCAAGTTAATAAGCCAATGCCAAGGTAGATAAGAAGTTCTTCCAACCTCATGTTTAATATTTGATTTACAAGGTCAAGGATTAAACTTCATAGCAGAGAGGTTAAGCATGTCAGTTATGGTTCAAGAAAAGATGAAAAACTACCCTCTGTCATGGTGTCAGATAATGTGTTCAAAGCTGGCCTTTCCGTTTCCCCTTTTTCCTTTAAATGTAACTCTTACCCAAATTTCTGGGTAATTCTATATTCTTATATGACTCTATTAAAGGGTAAAACACTGAATTTCCTTTCCAGGCTACTGACAAGGGAGCCTGGAATAAACATAATTTGAGTCCTGAATAGGGACGTAAAAGACATTTCTTACATATGAATGTTTATAATGTAAAATTTATACCCATTACATACAGTAATTGGGTACAAAGGTGTTGATATCAAATAGAAATATCATCCCTGGCTCTTTTATTCATTCTGGGCCTCAGGCAATTCCTAAATCCTTCTGAAAGTATGTTCTAAAAAAAATCCATTAATTTCATTTTTCCATTGTTTATAGTTGCCACAGTAAAATCATTCTTTCCTATACTGATTGGTATCTCTTGTGCCACAGTGGAAATGCATGCCTGTGTTTTCATCATTGGAAATTAGGATGGGAGTTTAAAATATATCTAAATGCCACAGACTTCCTAGATGCACTGAAAATTTTTCTTACCTATAGCCAGACCACAGTCTAGTTCAAAAGCTTTCCTGAAAAACATCACTAATTATAGTTATGTGTAAAATTTCTCAACTAAAACAGACTATCCTTTAATATGTCTGATAAATTCAATGTGATTGATATAAAGAAACACCTACATTGCTGCTTTTGTTATCTTGTGAAAGAGACCTATTAGATGTGTAAAGATATTAACCCATTGTAAACAACACAAAACAGTGTGTTAATGTAACTGAATAATAACATCCTATTGTTGTCATATGTAACATATCACATAGACAACCTTCTGGCTTGGCTTAGAGGCCTTTTGAAATCTGATTGCTACTCAATGATTTTCTGTTTTAAGAGTGTTAAATAGATCACATGTGCAAGTAATAAGACCAGAGATCCTAAGACCAATGTACACAATTAAACTTCATAGCTTTATATGTCTTACTTGGGCTGAAGTAATTTTCATTTTTAGAAATCCATGAACAAAAATCTAGTTGCATGGATTCTAATTGCTTTAGCAGATACTATGAGCATATCATATAAGTTATTGGGCCATATTTTATTACATGATTGCATCAGTTTTCAGCAACTATTTTTAGCTTTCAAGACCACTCTTTCTCCTTTGTCTTTTGGATTTCCTGAATGTTATTAGACTGTGGTGAGGTAAGGCATTAGAGGAAATAATAACTGTGCTGATGTCTAATCCAAAGTCTTATAAATTATAAACCATTGGTGACATCATGGCAATAAATTTCCTAAAACTCAATCTTCCCCAAGTAATAAATTTAGGTAACAAAATTGTGATTTCAGTTGTTTTATTTAATGATTAAAGCATAAACGATGTTTGTAAAAAGAAAGAAAAAAAAAAGAAAATCCTACATATATATGATAGAATGACCATTTTGGGTGGGAAACGAAATAAAATTAAGTCAAGCCAATACATGGACAGTATTTAAAAATGTATTTTTCTATTTTTTTCAAATTGCTCTTTCTCCTCTCTTGCTCTTCACAAGACACACCTTGTTTGCCAGTTATATTGAATAGTCAAGTATTCCCTGGTCACACTATGCTTTTTCTCATCTCTGTTTGAAACCTCTTCCTTCCCCCCTCACCTACCCTCAGCCCTCAACCCCAGGGTGAACTTCCTTTAAGAGTAAATTAAAAAGCCTCTTCCTAGGAGAAGTCTTAAGAGATTCCTACAGATATAATTTATTAGCTTCCTTTGTGCATATCCTAATTAACAATACTACATAGGCAATGACTATATTGGCTTCAGCAAAGACGGGATTTAACAGGATCTCACAGGAAATACAATGGCATACTGTATTTGGCCCAAAGGAGATGTTTTTGTGGATCAAATTCATCTGGAATTTAGTTTTCCTAAAAAGGTGACTAGATCTATGTTGTGCAATATTATAACCATGAGCCACATGCGGCTATTTAATTAATTAAAACTAAAAATTCCACTCCTCAGTTACACTAGCTATATTTCAAGTGCTCAACAGTCACATGAGGCTTGTGAATACAGGACTGCATAGGTGCAAACATTCCCATTGTCACAGAAGCTCTACTGGACAATGCAGCTCTAGATCCTGAATCCTATTCCCATAACAGCAAAGAATAAAGTTGGAAATCAGGAAGGCCTCCAAGGAAAGAAGACTTGTCATCACACCACAGTCATAGTAAAAAAAAAAAAAAAAAAAAGTCCATAAAATCTACAAGTAGGGATTATACTAATTAAAAACACTAGTTTTTTATGTTTATTAACCAGGGTTATACTAAGTACCTTTTAATGGCAGTCAGTACAGATGAATAAATACATGTCCCAAATTGTCCTGTATGTCATTCTTCTTCCATTTGAATCACTTTTCTTTAATCTATGCAGGTACACATTTTACTCATTACTTAAAGTTTAGGTCATGATATGCGATCCATTAAATGTTCATTGATTTTCCCCAGCAGAAAAAATAATTTCTCCCTGGAACTTGCATAGCATTCTAGTCATACTCCTTTAGTGTCATTTGTTACCTTCAAACTTTGATATTCCATGATGCATATGTTCTTTTTTCCCCTATTAAATTATTTTGAGTTGAAGGAAAAAATTATTCGCTATGTAGTTTTTCAAATACTAAAATAGAATTGAGTTAAAGCTCAGTGAAAGAATGAGTGAATAAATGAATGAGTGTGTGACTGAGTGAAAGAGGC